GAGCGGACGTATTACGTATGTTTGAGACACTCAGGAGTAGTTAATTAGAACCAAGGGGAAAAACATATAAGTTTAGTTTCATTGTTTTTCTGCAGTCCAGTATCTCAGTTCTGCTTTAGAAATGTACATATATAAAAATTGTATACATAGGCTTTAAAGAGGTTTCATGCCACAAGATGACAAATATTCTCTTAAAATAATACACCTTCTTGAATAGGACTGAAAATTATATCCTGGAAAACCATCCAAAGATGCTCTGCTATTGAAATACCTGTGGATATGCAGATCTATGGAACCAAAACTATACTGGTATGTGATGACGTAATATATTCTACATGTCCTTACCCATTACATTTGTCTGAATGCACCAACATATAGTCCCTAATACAAAGTAGGAAGCTTAAAATTGATTTTAAAACACTGTCCTTTTCTCAAGCAGAAATTAAATTCTAAGCAGGGATTTATAAGCTATTTTGATGGTAAAAGTCATCTGGTTTTGCATGCCTGTAACAGAACATCTGAGTAAGAATAATACAGAATATGGCCAATTTTCTTCCATTTACTGACCAGAGAACAGAATTCACTGTCTGTGGGTCAGGGAAAAAATTCATCTGGCAGAGAATGTAATCTCACGGAACAGAAACTTTATGTTACATTTTTGTTCTAATGTTGCTATAAAAAGAACAAATCAACGGGAATTTTCAGATTTTAGCTTTCTAAATTTCCTTTTTTTCCTGGCAAGATTTTAAATCCTCAAAATTGAAAGGCTAGTTTCATGTGAAGTAGAATTTTCATGTATCAACTCCTGCAGTTTAAGCCAGATTTTTTTTTTCCTATTTATTTTAACAGGAAATAAGTATTAAGTCCTTGGAAACATTCAGTTGTCAGATGTACTAGGGTGCAAGACAATCTTTTTGTTTGTATTTGTGTTCTGTAAACAGGAGAATTTTAGACATCAATTGTGATGTTATAGTGAAAATTGAATATTGTCAACTCTCAAGTACTGTTTTTAAAAAAACAGCCAAGTGTTATTGTTTCATTTGTTTTTGCCATACTTGTACTAAACAGAAATTCTGTCATGGACCAGAACTCTGCTGTGCTCACCATGTTCAGTGTTAAACACAAAAATATATAGCGTGGGAGTAGGAAGAAATCTCTCTCCAGATATTATTTTATATACAGACATAATTTATATATATGTGCACAAATAAATATGCCTGATTTTTACCTGGAAAAATATTGCTTTGCCATCAAGCCTCCAGAAGTTTGTGACGGGATAGCCACTGTGTCCTCGGCAAGGAATCAACTCAAGGGCTGAATTGCAGTTTGGGCAGGCTTTCTCTGTGAATAAAGACAAAGAAACTACTGAAGAGATTGGTTGAAGGCAAGGATGTTTCCTGAGAGTAAACAGAGCTCAAGAGCAGTATGATCAGACTTCACTGAAATTCCAATTAAAATATATTGTTCAAGGAAACACAACATAGACTACCAAGCATAACTGAGTGGTACAAACTAGAGCTGCATACTTGATATAAAAGCTAATGATGTAAAGGATTTCAAATCCATTTTCCCTTAAGTATTTACAAATAGACATTGACGAAATTTGTAAATAAATCACAGTCTTTACAATTATGGCTTAGTCTGCCTGCAAGTAAGAGTGACTCCAGTTTAGACGTCAAGCCCAGATGAAAGAAATGTGACCCCTTAGGCATCCCAGCTTTCTTTGGATATCCCTCACTTTGTTGCTTCTGCCGAGCCTTGTCGCATATGGCGGGGCGAAGCTGCAGCCTGGCTCCGCCGGGCAGAGCACAGCTCCTGGCACACACCACCACTCCCAGGCAGGACTTCTTGAGGATCTGGCAGTTGTGGTTGTTGGTGTTGCGCATGGCCCAGCCACTGAGGTGCCTCTGCGCGTTCTTCTCCTCACTGGAGTAGATGAGCCGCACGTAGCCATCAGGCCATTCCTGGAAGGCATCAAAGTGCTTGGGCTCCTGCAGCAGGGCAAGTGGGGTAGAGGGGCAAGGCAGCAAGGAGAAGAGCAAGAGAATATTATCAGTATATCACAACCTGATATTTTTGCCCTGTTACAAAACACACAACAGGAAACAAAAGCTTTTTCCATGACCATCCAAGCAGCAGAAAAAGAATTATTGAAAGAATAACTTATTCATAAATGCTCTAGAAGGGAAAAGGCAGTCTGAGCTTCCGTGTTTCAAGAGTCAGGATCCTTTCCTCCTTTGCACCACAATCCATAATTACATGGTCTGTTGTCACAGGTGCCTCTTTACAGTGGGGTTACCCAGCTGTAAGGCATCAGCCCGGTTACCAAAACTTACTAACTGGTCTGCCACCAGTGTGCCCAGACAGGACACAGGCCACCCTGATCATGACTACTGTTAAGTTCTCCTTGTTGTGGGACCATGCACCTGCAGGCAAGAAACTAGAAGTTTTAGCTATGGAATGGTTTCTTAGATTGTATCTGAGTTAAGACTTTTGCTAAGAAACAGAAATAAAAAAAATTGCCCTTGCAAATACAGTTCCAATATGCATAGTGGCTCAAAGAAAAAACATTTCAATTTTGCATTTCACTGGCTTTCTGGAGCTCCTTACTAAAATGAAATTACTAGAACAATGAAAGAACAACTGAGATAGTAAACTGTAAATATTTACAGTGCAAGTAAAGAGTTCCTACAATGCTTATTTAACATATATATGTACCACATGTGAGCAATTCCAATGAAAGCAATAAACTACCAGCATTTACAGTATTAAGACATTCTATAATAACATGGACTGTTAAATTAAATAAATTTGAAGCAGAAAAAAGTTGTAAGTTAGCACATTTAAAGCTCGCAAGTAGACAGAAATTGGAGTGCTTGGTAGCATTAAAGTATCACATCAACAAATGAAGGAAATATTTAGATAAGTTAGATTAGAGTAGTAAAAAACAGTTAATTCAAGCTTCTAGTCAACATTTCTTGAACAAGAAAGAAGGAGAAGGAAACTGGCCAAACTGCGCCACAGATTATATTAGGTCTTTGAACACAGCTGGCCAAAGCTGTGTATGGAGTCCATATTTTTATTGTCAGTCATCTCACAAGGACTGGGGAAAAAAAAGTGAAAAAGGGCAGGAAAAATAAGGCAGACATAAAACGAAGTTTTTCTCCAATGGAAGGTTGCTCCCCTGTTTCCCTAGCAGCCCAACTCCTCCTCTGTCACCCTCCCACCCGCTCGTTACCTGCGGCAATTTGGGGTCGTTGATGTCCCAGGTCTGCTTCATGGCGAAAAGCAGCAATGGGCGCTGACTCCCGCTTTTTTATGCCGTCGGGGCGTCGCCCAGTTGGAGGGGAGTTCTGAGCCGGCTCCGCAGGTGGAGCAGCAGCACAACCGCTGCATCTGGGCGGGCGGGCAGACAGGCAGGGGCTAGGCTCCCCCTCCGCCACGCAGGCGGGTTTCGCTACCCTTACCTGGAGGTGTGTGACGGGGGATAGCCGTGGGGGTTTGGCGCGAATCCACCTCCTAGCACCGGGGGCCGCGACCTCGGCAAATTTGAGCAGGGTCTGGAAGTCTAACCCGGCGGTGGCGGGGCTTTGCCACTCGCTGCCGCAGGTGCTGGGATGGGAGAGGTTATGGGGAGATGGGGATCTATCTCCGTCTGGCCGGGACGCCCCTGATGTTGGATTTCGAGCGCGGCTCGGAGCTGCCTGCAGCTTGAAACGCCTCCAAGAGGGAGGCAAAGGCGCTCAATAACCTGCTCTTTAGATGTAGATGTAAACGAATTCAACATTATTTGGGAGGTTTCCCCTTCGCGCCGTGCTCTATAACATCCAGTTTAAAATGCAAAGCCAGTGCCAGTGTTATCAGCACGTTTTAACTTATTAAAAATTTATAAGCTTTTTATTACCTTTTTTTTTTTGGAAGAAATAGCCGATGGGTTGCGGTGTTTGTTTTGTTGGTTTTGCGGTTTTTTGTTTTGTTTGTTTGATTGTTTGTTTTTGTTTGGGTTTTTTGTATGTTTGTTTTGGTTTGGGTTTTTTCTAGGGGGGCAGGGGTTTCAGGGGTGGAGGGAGGTTGATTTTTGGTCTGAGAAACAGAAAGAAAAAGACTTATGCACAATAGCATAGAGACCAAGCCGTTGAACGCCAAGCGCTGCTATCATCCTTTAAACGATCCCACCTGTTCGGAATGATTTTCTCATTCGCTTCCATCCCCTCTGGTCCAAAATTTACTGGCCTTTACCCTTAACCGTCCACAATAAGCCCCAGCCGGTTGCAGCAGATGCCGGCTGTGGCATCCCTCGGCAGAGAGCAGCCCCCCTGAGGTTCCTCGCTCCCCTTTTGCACCCTTCGGATCGACCGGGGGCGTCTGTTAGTGCTGCAAAGCCGATCCCCGGGTGCGGGAGACCCATCCCAGATTCTGCACACCTGCGGCTTTTTAGTGCGAGTGCAAGAGGGGCATTTTTCCCCCCTCTTCCCCCCTCCCTCCCTCCCCAGTGCTGGGTTCTGGCGGGGAAAGAAGAGCTTTCGAAGCCGCGGAAAACGCTGGCGAGGCTCTCTCTCCACCCCAAACGCAGGTGTATCCGATAGCAGCCAGTTACGGTCGTGCGAGGGCCGTGGGGAGGGTGCGAAGCAGCCCCTGCACCTTCTCCCGTGCGCCATGGCCCAGGTAATCGCCGCTCCCGGCACGGGAGAATCAGGAGACGGCTGGGGGGGAGCGGGCACGGAGGGACGGACGGGACACACCGCGGTGCCCGCGGGGCTCCCCTGCGGCTTCCAGAAACCTTCAGTTTGGATGCGTGGGGTGGTTTTGCAACTCGGAAACTAAGTAAGGAAAATCGGTCTTTTGGGAGAGAGGGGTTGAGTAAGTGGACTTCAGCTTTTGGACAGAATAAGTGTTTGGTTTTAGGGTGTTTTTGTAGGAGAGGATTTTTTTCCTGTATTTTTCTCTTCTTTTTAAAGGAATCAAAAAGTGAAGAACGGAATAGAGATGTGAGTGGCAATATGGCAGGCAGAGCAGAAGACTATGTAAGGATCCTTTAAATGTATCCTTAGCTTTATCTTACAAATAGTTATATATGTATGTTTAAAGGTGCATTTCTTAAATGGATATGGCATGACCTAGAATTTTTATTAGTTTAATATGGGAAGTGCAGCAGACTCCTTAGTCTTTTCCCTAGCAAGTGGGAAGAAGTTATTGTAAGAGTTTTGAGACATGTAAGAATTACAAACTGGGTGTACCAAAAGAATGTCTTATTCAGTATCTTCTAAGATTATTCAGTTACAAGGGTTCTGTCTCTTTTAAGGTTGACTGATGTTTCACTGATGTAACGATAAAATAAAAGTAGAGAAACAAATAAAGTTAAACAAGTAAACAAAAAGCCTGCAACTTTTAAAATAGCGTTACAAGTATTTTCTCATAATCAGTGCTGCAACAATCTTAATACCCATTTATTTAACTCACTAGTTGTTTCCTTCCCTTCCCTCTGCAGCTTGAATCACTTCTCACTGATGCCTTTAAGGGGAAAGGATTTGAAAAAATAAGCGAACTGCTTCAAGAGAGAGAAGTAGAGCCTCCCCAGAAATACAGTGAATCTCTTTTTAGCCAGCTAGACAAAGCACTGAGAAAGGCGAGTATCATAAATAATCTCAACCATCCAAAAACCCAAGGGTATCAGACTAATGATGCACAGCACTCTGTGTTTCTGTAGGAGCTGGACAAGAATGAATTCCAGAATGTTTCGCTGCTGCTGAAATGTATTCAGGTCTACTTTAAAAGTGATTTCCAAGAAGGGAAGAGTTTGTTTATTGAGCAAGGACTGGTAGCAAAGATGAGTATAATATTATATGCAAGTTACTAATGTGATTTAAAGTTGCTTGCATCAGAAAAAGAACTCCAAGGAAATGAAAACTAGAGAATGGCTTGTTGGCCATGCAGAAACATATATATTTAAAATATATTGCATGAGCTCAATGGGCAAAAAAAATACTTACTGTCTTTCATTGCTTTTGGTGCAGCAGCCAATATTATGGTTTCACTTATTACCTGACTTAGTGGATTGTGGGTTTTGGGTTTTGGGGTTTTTTTTAAGCTGACAGTGGAAGGGGAGGCAGAATTTTGATGAGTCCCACTTATGAAATGATGTAAAATTTCTAAACGCATTTTAAATGCTCCAGCAAAATACAGTGTTAGTTATAGAACTGATGAGCAGTTTGTGCTTTTATAATTTTAAGACCTGACGTACTCTTTATGAAGATCCCTTTTTAGATATGTAGCAAACTAGATGCATTTAATCTGCAGTTGCATTTTATCTTCTGGCAGAATGGCACAATACTGATTTCAGCTGGTGATACTTGTAGTAGCAGAAATGCACTTGTGCTGAAGATGAGTAATACCTGGATCTAGCATAGCTAGCAGGGAACAGTTAACACATGCTCTACATTTCCAGAGTTCTACCAAGAAGTCCTCAGTTCAAAATATTGTAATCCTGCCTTGTAATTATGCTTTTTAGGGATACAGTTACTCAAAATTCCTGTATGGAGATATATTAATGAAGTTTCCCTGATCTGAGCTCTGTACCTCCAGTGAAGCATAGATTTCTATTTCGCCACATGTGTGGCTATGCAATATATTTAAAACCATGAAGTGTTAAAATATTTACCTTGAAAAAGCTTGAAAAAAATTTAAAACATTATTTTGCTGTGAATTGATGTTCTGTAGAAATTTCTATAGGAGTTACCATGCCGTTAGTAGCATGCATTGTGCCTAAACAACAAGAGTGTGTGCCTTGGACAACGAAGGACGATAAAAGAGGGTTGGGGAGGGAAGAGGGGAATGTCACTTTTCATGTCCTCCTAGCAAAACCTGAGCTCCTTAACACCATGTAGCTTTTGACACAGTATGTAACTCAAGTTTTAAGAGTAAAAAACTGTCTGTAAAGTTTCCTGCAGACATATATAGTTTAAGGATTATTAACTCCTCTTCCCAGATTTTAACCAATTCTTTTAACTTTTACCTGGTATCTTGGTTTGAAAGAGCAAGAGCATCTGTGATCCTCATCGACCCAAATGAGAATAAATTTTTTGAAGACTTCTTTGACACTGCATTGGTATGTATGTGCATTAAGGGAACAGAAGGGTTGCCTATATTGGATAGGAAAGCCATTGTTTGCACACAATTTCCAGTTAAAAAACGAATAGTTGCATGGACCTGGCAGTGAGCCTGGGATGCAGTCCAGAGGGTGCTGGTGGGGAGTGCCCAGGAATGTGCTCTGGGCTGGCATCAGGCTGAGATTTGACACAACCTGGGAAAAGCTGCTAAAGGGCTGCAGTGTTTTCTGATTGTCTAACATGAAGCCGAGTGTTTGTTTTTGCAGAAAAATTTTCAAGAAGTTCTGATGCATTTTTTAAATAAAGGCTTTTGTGCTGAAGCTCTCTTAAAAACCTCAAGTCAGTAATATTAAGCTGCACTTTACTTGCAAATGTGTTTTACCCGAGCTGTTCCTCCAAGTCTTGTTGTCTGTAGCTTACTGGAACTGTGTCACTTTTGTGACACAGTTTGTGCATCAGAATTCATATCAATACTTATGACTCTTTTTAGGAGTTCTGATAAAGGATATTTAAGCTGAATCAAAGTTCCTTCTTTCTCTGCTAACCATACCAACATACCCGATTTTTTTTTCCCAAAATTTGATCTATATTTCTTCCCAGTACATTTCTTCCACATGCTTTCGTTGTGGAGAATGAAGTGTTTTGTTCTGTGGGGATTTGGGGTTGTTTGTTTGTTGTTTGGAGGTTTTTTTAACTTTTATTTTTGTTTTTCCTCAAGGGACTTCAACACCTTCAGATATACATTGTGACATATAGTACTGTAGTGTGGAAGCACAAAATGTGCTTGTACATAAGCCCATAGGTGTAATTAAATAAGAGAAGAATGCCATGATGTGGCTTTTCCAGGGTACCTATGGGCACTGCACTCTCAAGTGCTGCTGAAATCCCTGGGGAAAGTGGGTGCTTTGCTATCTTTACCCTCCCTGCGTAATGCCAACCTGTATGATTAGGGTCATCATATGTGACATGCCTGTGTCAGGTGGCCCTGCTTTTCCTGATGTGGGTACACTAGTGTTTTATGTTATTTAGCCCCTGAGAGTTGTGGTGGTGGGGGCATAAACACCTTGGCACTTTGAGTACTGCTGTTCTTAGGTGATAGTGTGTTAACGAAGGCTTCCTTTACTGTTTCCATCAGGTGATTTGCAAATGCAGTAATGAAGGTCAGTATTTTTTTCCTTCCATGCCTTGATATCCTGTATCTTAGTCTCAGGAGCATGTTTCTTAATTCTGCTTGAACTCTGTCCCTTTTCTCTTTTCCCTTCTGCTTCCTACCTCTCTGCAATATTTTTTTTCTTTTAATCCTCCTTCTGATTTCTCTTCAGTTAATTTTCATTAACATTCACATCAGAGCACAAAACCTTTTTCCATTTCTCTTTGCTTCCTTGTTTTGTACAAGTCAAAAAAAAAAAACATCCATCTGTAGTATCTTGCTTAAATGCTCAGCATCAAATAATTCACTTGATCAGAGTAAGTGGTGCTTCTGAAAGGGGTTCAGGCTAGAGGATCTATTCTCACCACATCTGTTTGTACTGGCTTGAGAAGTTCTTTCCTTGCTGAAGGCAACCACCTCCACAGAAAACCATGGTAACTCCTTCAGCTTTCTGAACTAGGCAGAGGGATGTCTGCAGCAAAATTCTGTCTGTGGCTGCAGCTGGCTTTCCATTAGGGCAGGGGAGCAGGTGCTTTCAGAAAGTATCTGTATGGCCAAACGTCCAGTCTCACAAGTCATGTAAAAATAAAGTATTACACTGTGGACCAGGTAATGTGTGCTTATTTGTCCTTGTGGCTTATTTTAGTTGGAGCAGAGTACGCGTGAGCATCTTCTGGTTAGTACCTTACTGGTTTACTCTGTTGATTTTGACAACAATTCTAATTTTCTCTTGTGGTTAGGCCTCTTAAAATAATTACCCAGGTCAGCAGTTAGTGTATCTGGAGCTTTACTTTTTTTTTTTTTACATAGAAGTTACCAGTTCCCTTTCTGTCTAGGATTAGATGGTTAGAAGCTTTGTTTTAAAATGAACTTACAAGTGGGATATTTTTACTCCAACACAGCAAACTGTAGTTGCTTCAGCTGTCCTTTATATGGAGACCAGCCCATTTCTAGCTGTAACCTTTCAAAATATTTTTCTAGGGAAAAAAGATCTTCTGAATTTATTTTTACCTGAACTAGGGCATCTAGTAACAGAAGCAAATCTTTGCTGCACTCTGCATCTGGAGGTAAGATTCCTACTAAGAGGAGAAAATTAGATACATTTGCGCACAAGTGTGTGTGATTAGAAAATATGGGAAAAATGAATAATACTGAATTATTTCCCTTCATTTTCTGCCCCTTCTTTTGCGGGGGGAAAGGCTTTGAGGACCCTTAACTCTATACTCGACAACGTCACACGGGAAGAGAGAAAGCAATTCCCTCTGTCTGAGGAAATGTGCTCGCTCACGTAGGTGATTTTCCTCCTAGCTCCTGTAGCTAAATGCCATCTTCCCTCCAATAGGAGTTAGTTATTTTCACTTTTAACTTGTGGTATTATGTTGTTTCAGGAAAGACCTTGCCAAAACTATTCTGGAGGTTGGTGGTAAGAAATATTTAGTGGTTATTCTTATTAATTTCTCCAACTTTACCTTACCTGTTTATTTATTGTAGCTGAATTGCAATTTAAATTATTTACTTGTCAAGAGTTGACTTTTAGGGAGGAAAATCACATAGTACTTTGAGAAAATATTAATAAAAAATTGGTAAATGCAGCAATGCCTTAGTTTTTTCTGGTTGGTATTTAGTAATGTGTATTAACCAATAAGACGAGCTAAACAGATATATGTAGAAAAGTAATTAGATCAGCTTTACATACGTGTTCACAAAATATGCTGGCAGTTAGCCTTAAAAAAAATAAATTGGAATTGCTTTGCCCAGATGTGGACAAACTTCAGTTAACAAGGTTTATAGCCTCTCGAGTGAAGTCTTTTTCATTTTCTCCTAATAATAACACTTTCTAGAGTTTTGCCATGATATATGGAATGTAACTTAATCCTAGTGAGTTAGTGATAAGTCTTCGCTCTCATCCTCTTCCTGAACCCCAAGAAAATTTCCCAGTGCACTTGTGTGTGTTGTGGTTTGCAGCACTCCGTACTTGACCTCACTGAGTCAGGGGGAGCTGAGGATGCCTGGAGTTAACACTTGGCTGTTAGCCTCCACAGTTCTCTAGGTAGAACCAAAGCTAGATGATGAATATGACTGTGTGGTACGTAAGTACAAGAGTGGCAATGCTATAACACTCTCTTATGCCAGAGGGATGATATTTATCCTGTGCTTATGTTTACTGTGTAGATTATGACCTCCAGGTTGCCCTTTCAGAAGCACTTTGTAGGTTAATGATAAAAAAATGGAGAGATGACCTTGTTCACCACTGGTTTGAAGATAACTATCTTGCTGAAGCTTTCAAAGAGATCAAGGATAGAGAATTTGAGACGGTGAGGGTCCTTATTTTGAAAACAACATACTTGACAAGTCTGTATAGGGGCTAGTTTTGGTTGAGTTCAGTCAGGATGTCCTTGTAAGAAGTTCCTACAAAACTGACTTTATAAATACACAAAGTTACTTAGTTATTGAATTATTTGTGGATGGTGTGTTTTGTTTTTTTCCTATAATGACGCATTGTTAAAATAGCTCTTCTAAGTTTTTACTTACAAAAAAGTAAAATAAAAATTATAATCAATAATAAAACATAAATAAGTTTATGTTTGAAGGCTTACTGGTAGTAAATTGGGTCCAACCATTTGTAGCAACTTGAGTGTTTCTTCCTCAGGGGCCTTTGGCATCACACTGACTAGTTAAAAGCTTCTAACTGGAGTAGAAGTCACACAGCCCGATAGAATAAGTATTTGCAAAGGAAATGCAGCCTGACTTTTTAATAATATGTCATTTGTCTTGAAGGACTGCAGAAAATTTCTTAACCTGCTGAATGAAAGGCTTGGGAATGAAAGAAGGTAAGCTGGGGACCAACAGAATAAGCTGGTGCCCTTACTACTGCAGAGGAGAATAAACAGGATTGTAATTTGAGTTGGGTGATATTAAAAAGAAAAAAACGGATTTACGTCACATGTGAAGAATTAAATTGTTCTTAAGAAGGACATTTTATTCATTTTTATGGTGGTTTTTTGAAAGTAAAATCAATGAAGATAATGCATCACTACTAAAATACTATGGCCTCTTAAGCTTCTCCAATATTAATTTACTTTTAGAAATATTTTAATTATTTCTTGAACAATAAGATTGGTTATACTAATCTTATGAAAAATAAAATGATTTAAGTCAGGCTCTGATGCTGAATGTATCATATGAAGTCTGCTTTTCTTCCAGAGTGTATTCTTTTCCATGCATATCTGCTTTTGCTGACACGGAGGAGGTAATACCCCCTAAAGCTCTGACATGTTCCCTACACTGTTACTACTGCTGAAATGTTGATTTTTGTGGTAATTGTTTTTTCCCCTCCCTCTTTTTCATTGAAGAGCTCAATTTCTTAAAATGTAGAGTGTAACCTTCTATACTGGTTGGAAAGTTTGCTTGTTTGTCACTTAGCTCCCAATTTACAGCTGCTGACTTTGCTTTTGTATCAGCCAAAAGATAGAGGCAGCGCTTCTCTTCATGGTGATGACAGAAGGGAGAGCTCTAAAAAGAAACAGGAGGACAGGACAATGTTGATTCCTCCAGCAGAGCTGTTCTCAGAGTGCCAGAAAACAAGATTAGCCTGATGCCCATGTGGGAGAAGTCAGAGTTGCTGATCCTGCAGATTGCTTTAGTGGTCTTTAGTACGTGTACTGTGGCACCATTCCTGGCAGTCATATCGAATCAACAGCATGTAAATGGAAGCCAGTTCCACTGTTTCTGATTATTTCAACTGCTCAGAAACAACTCCTATACCCTCTTCCTGGCACAAACATGTGGGTGTTGTGTGTTGCCTTTCCCTTGGCTGATACAGAGCTGTGTCTGACATGGGTATGGTTGGGTGAGCAGTAGACTGGCAGCTCGCAGGTTGATCTGAACTTTTATTTCTGCAAGATGTGCACATGTGTACACAGATATGTAAGGCAACACTTTCCAATTTTATCTCATTAAAGAAAACTGAGAGTGATACAGCAGTTGTGGGGCGTTTCTGGGAACAGCAGTACCACTCTTCTTCCCCAGGTGAAGAAGCCATCGGATGAAAAACTGGAGGAGTTTTGGATTGACTTCAACACTGGCAGCCAGAGTGTGACTTTCTATCTGGATAGTAATGAGGTAACGATAACAGCGAGGCCCAGGTGGCTTTGGGCTCAGCCTAAGGCTGTAGGCACTCACTCAGCCCTTCTGACATGTTGGCTTTGGTTTTCAAAGGGCTTTCTTTGGGACTCTGTGAGGCTGTCAAAAGAAGCTGTCAGCAGTTACAGGTTGGAGGGTAAGATTTTCCAACTGACGTTGTCTTCTCTCTGGCTATGGGTTCCTGAGACACATGGAGTCAGCTTAAAATCTCAGCACCACCATGTCATCTCCTCCCTCCTTGCCTTTGATAGTCATCTTGCACTAGCTCTGCTTGTTGGACTGTGTGTGGGCCCACTGAGCACAATAACTTACTCTCCCCTACCCAAGCAGGACAGGTTAAGGTATCATCATTTTATAGATGTCCTAGGGAACAGCATAATCATCAAGATCATCAATGGGAAAGAAATGAGTGAACAGAGTAACTGGAAATGCACAGGCAAGATGTAAAAGAGACTGTTCTAAAAATTCCAGACACTTATTCAGTTATTTTGTGGTCGAGAGAAGTATGTCTTGATCTAAACCAGATTTAATTGCCTTTATTTTTTTTTTTCTCAGAGGATGGTGGACAAAAGATTGTTAAAATTTTTATGAAGAAACCTGCTGCTCTTACCAAAACGGAAGCAACAAAAATCAAACTGATTTTCAGTGCTGAGTTTGAAATCTTAGGTGTACTTAAGAAAGTCCTGGGTGATGAAAAATTTATGGTAAGCTCTTAATATGAGGGTTGGGGTTTTTTTCTAAACTAGATTTTGCACTGGGCAAAACCATTCAGATTTCTGGGGTTTATGCTTGTGTGGTATCTTTGCTTATTTTTTCCATACCTCTTTATTATATATCTGTCTTCCTGTTGTGGATTTATAACACTCTATATAGATACTCTTAGCTTTGGCCTGCAAGAGAAATTAGGCATCTTACTAATGAAGTTTCAAAGGACTCAAAGTCATGGTTTAGAAGCTGGAAGGTTAAACTGATTTGTTAATGGATTTTATGTGTTATTACTTTTGCTGAGCTTCTGCAGTAGAAAATAAAGCCTATGACATTTAATTGTGTAACTTGAAGTCTAAACATGCTCTTACATATAGCTCCAAGTGTTACGTTGCACAGGATGAGTAAATTGTTACATAAGAACCTGGAAAAGAGAATAGGTGTGCTGCAAGATACAAATCTTAGATTGACTTTGTAGCTAGTACTTCTAGATGAAGAGTAGAGTACTTCTAAAACCTAAAGTTTTTTTCTAAGCCAATGTAAAAACATGGGCGATGTGTGCGACTATTTTTTCTCAAATGTTAATACAATTAATTTTTTACTCGTGATTGATCCACAGACTATGGAGATTGCAGAAAACTTTTGGCAACAGTAAATAACCATGACATGGGGGCTGTCATTTACCCTTGCAGGAGCCAAGACCTTTCCAAATTATCAACACAATTAGCATCCAATTATTTGTTGCTGGCAATTACCAACTGTTAATTTTGTTATTAAGTAGTTGACTTTACTAGATAAAGATTACTTTTTTAAGATCACTTTCACATGACATTAATTCACACCAGCAGATAAATGAGACCGAAGAGAAGTCTGTCCATGCTGGGAAGCAAGCCAGGGAGAATGAAACAGGTGATTTTTTTTTTTTTTTTTAATTATCGTGTTATTTCATTAAATTTAAATATCTCAATTTTCAAATTATTGTTTTCACTTGCAGTCCACAGCTTGCAGTTAACCTCATTTAAAAAAGAAAAAAACAAACAAACAAACAAAAAAACCCCCAAACCCAAAACAAGCAATGCCCAAGCTCAATCTTCTGCTGTTCCTTGTCTTGTGAGCTTAGTAACTGGTGCTTGTTGGCAGATGCTGAGTCCCTCTAGCCCAGGGAGTGGGGACTGGGCACCATGGGCCATGTGCTGCTGGTATTGCATGGGCAGGGGAACTGCTCAGTGATACAGGACCTGGATTTGGATCTGGCAGGCAGCCTTGCAAGGCACATCTTGGCTGCTGGCTGCCCACTGATGTGCAAAGAGTGTGCAGTAGTGTTTTTCCATCTGCAAGAGCAGTGGAATGCGTCCTTCTGTCCACCTCTCTTGCTTGCTCAATGCCTGGTTTCTGATTTGGCTATGCTATGTAGGTGCCTTTGGAAGTTTGCCTGCAGAAGGGGACAGTGGCATCGGTGTGCCCATGAAAGCACAGGTTCTCTGATGGATGAGTTCTTGCACCTTGGCATTTAACAAGCTCTCCCCTGTACAGTGAGGTGCATGTGGTGAGGCAGCCTCTACCAAAGCTTTCTGCAGGGGAGTGGCTTCTGTTTCTTCTAGACAAGGTGATGTGCTAGAAAATGGTGTACTCCAGTCCCTTTACCCCACCTGGAGTGGATGATGCCCTGGAGATGCCTGGTGCTGTTGTGGAAGAGCAGCAGGGGGAGCAGAAATGCTCACCTGTAGTCCCTGTTTGTAGGTAAAGATGAGCAGCAGCTCGTCTCTGCAGAAGGTGTCCTGCTGCTGTGTGAAGTGGCATTGTCAGTGCTGCCATGAATACCTTGTGCTATAGGGCTGTCTTTGTGTGTGCTCCAGCTACAGGTGTGTCTGTGTGCCTTACAGAAGCAAAGGCTCTTAGCTGGACCAGGAATAGCCATTAGTTGCTTATTCTCATCAGCCTATAGCCAATGCTTTGTATTTCTTTGAATTGGGCACGTTAGGTTTTCCATCATCAAATGGTGTCATTTCCTGTGCTGCCAGTGAACATCTGCAAGATGTCTTCTTCCAGGATCATTTGGCTGAGTTTAATTATGTTCCAAATATTATAGATGTCAAGGGAGCTCAGAGCCTGAAGTACAGATGTCATGTTTGGGTGTCTGACCCAAAGGAGGGTCTATAAGACCTGTACTTGTACAAGAACAAGAGAAAGTAACTCCTTTCTTTCCTTTTATCCCCCTCTGAAATTCTTCTGTAAATCCCCACCACAGCTGTGACCCACAGTTTAACGAAAAGCTACTTTCAGCAAAAAAGGCAAGAGATGTGCGTGATCAAAATTGGTTTGAAACAGGAAATGTTTTCTCAGACTAATATTGGTATCAAATTATTTGGAAGATGGTGCTTTTTTTTTTTTTTCCCTATAGTGATCTTTTATCTTTGAAGACTGGGACTTGTTCTTGCTGCAAAACTGGCTGTATTTCAGGTTTTAGAGTGATTACTTTTTGTGTGGATCACTCCGTGGTGTAAATTGCTTGACAGATATTTCCACATCACCTAAAGCTGTGAACTCACAGCTCTTTCTACTGCTACCACCCACTGTCTCAGAATCAAGTTTTAAGAGCTTTTAGGATAGTTAGCATTGTTTCTGTGATAATATTAAAAACAAATTTTTACTTTCATCTAAGTTATTGTGCATTTAAGGTTTTTTCAAGTGAATACTTGAAAGAGCTACTTCCAGCTCTAAATATCTGAGGCCCTAACTTCTTCAGTAGTCCTTCCCATTTTCCTCCAGTTACAACCTAAAATGAGCTAGAATGGTAGTCCTCCAGATTCTAGAGGCACAGGTGAGCTAGGAGTTCCTTCATCAGTGTCCACTGTAATGCACGCAGAGGTACAAGGTGGGCACTGCTATTTGAAGCAGTCAAGGAGTACAAAGGGCAGAAGGCAGTTAATCTGTAGTGAAACATTTTGCAGTGCCTGGGAGAGATTCAATGAAGGGCAACAGAGATGGTGGAAGATCCCACTGCTTTAGTCAGACACAAATGGTTGTTCCATCTCTTCCAGAGCTTAGGAGTTAAGGTAGTGATAAGATGATAAACTTCAATGTATTTGTACAGTATGAGGGGCTTACATGGGGAAGGTTCAAGATACTGTTTTTTTAGCATTGCAATTCTGCACTGGGTAATTTGGAGATGTTTGTTTTTGTTCTATTAAACATGATCTTGAGATGTTTGTGCCTAGTAAGTTGTACTGTTACAACTTATGCATGAGTGTAATAATGGAAAAGGCAGGTAGTGAGTGTGTTCAGTTACTGCAATAGCATTCTCACACTGGTTGCTGTTCTGCAGTGATAGCTGAGTCTTCTAATGCACAAAGGAGGAAAGATCCCTCAAATTCTGAAGACATGGAGACTTTATCAGAGAACTTAACCTCTGAGAACAGCCAGCAGTTAACACGCACAGTAGCAGTAAGTGTTTGGAGTATGGTGGAATGGTCCTTGTGCCCCTTTTCCCCCTTCTCCAGTCTGCTTTTTTATAGGTTGGGCTAAAACCTTCTTTCAAAGAAAACTGGTTTGTATCCAGTCAGCCCAAACATATGCCTTCAGAGCTGCAATTTTGGCAAAACTGCATTAAAAAGAAAAAAAAGAAATTTTACTTCCTCTTGTAAGGGGATGGTGGGATGCCTTTAGTGAGAAACTTATGATATCACTTATATGCAGCCTAAAATGTTTTTATGTGTGGACAATGATGAATGTGTCATCCAGGTGTTGTCACAGACTGGCACTGAAAGTCTGTTTCTAAAAATCCCCACTTTTTTATTGATCATATATATGTTCTGTTCATGGTTTTATGTCTTCGAGCAGAAAATGGTGAACTCTGGTGTTGCCGTGGTTACAGTGAGCCAGCAAACTGACCTGGAAGATGCTAACCAAGGCTCAGGTCAGGCTTCAGTTCCTAAAGTCTGATGCAGTTCAGTGTCACCCAGATGACATGTTGAAGCACCTGCTTTTGTGGGCCTTACAGCAAAAGTAGATAAAGATTTCATAGTAGTGCAGAGGCTAAAGCTATAGTATCTTTGCCTTCTTCAGCAAAAAAGTCCAAAACTCCATCTCCAGGAATGAAGGCTAAGCCTAGGTGAGTGTCTTGCAGATGAAAAGTTGCAAAGGGGGTTTTTGTTTGTGGGGTTTGTTTTTTTGTTCCCTTCTCCAGGGGTTTTATTGCATATCATTTTGAGGCTTATTCCATCACTTATTAAATTAGAAAAAGATTCTGTTTTTCAGCCTGGATAGTAAGGCTGGATGCCTAGAGTTACAGCACTTTGGAGAAGCTGAACAGTGATACTGAGTTACTAGCTTGGCAGCTGCTTTGGTGTCACTTTTTTCTCATCACAGATTTAATCCAAATGCAAGGTGATCACACAGCTAACTTAAGAGTTTAACTTCAGCTATGTGTGTAGCTTTTGCTATTAACTGGAGCTCAGCAAATATGAGGCTATTCGTAATAGGGAAACATGACTTATGTGAAAGATCATGTGAATTTGAATTCTCCTTGGCATCAGTAACACCTTTTTTTCCAGAGCTTTGGAGGACAGAATTCCTTGTAATTAAGGAGCTGGACTTCTGTAGAGTTACTGATTAACTTTCTTCCCTACATACCTAAACCATTGCTTTGATGCTAATTGGTGCAAGTTTTTTTTTTCCCCTTAGTACTTCACAGACTTTTTGGTCTTTAAATGAACAGCTCCCTCATGTGTCCTCTTGTCCCCAGTGAGAAGCCCCTAGAAGAACCCAGGGAGGAGGAAACATCAAAGGTATGTTTGCCTTGGGGCTCACCCGAGTGAAGAGATACGGGGCAGGGAAGAGATGTTCTGGTGGAGTTGCAGAAGAAAGCTGGGATGGGTTGACCCACTGATGCCATTGAGCAGTGTACTGAGTCCATGCAGTGTCATACCTGATGTGATGTGCTGTTTAGCACCAGGAGTGAGCTGCAGAGGCAACAGCTACCAGCCTCAGTCTAGAGTGGCCCAACCAGTTAATTCGAGCTCACTGGAGTGTATTCAGCACATATGCCCACTCCACAGCAGTGTGTTGTACTTGTGTCTAGGAGTACAGTGGTGTGTGGGCATCCAGACCAGCTGTGTGTGGGACAAACTCACATGTCACAAGACTTGCACGTTGTCTGCGAGAGCAAATGTTTGCTTGCTGAATGGAACCAAGCCTTGGAAGTCTACAGACATGTTTATTCACTTTTGTCTGAGCTGTAATGACCCTCCCATGACAGGTCTAATGCTAGTTTTAGATTTTTAAATAAAATTAATAATTTTTTTTTACTGCTGGTTCAAATGCTTTGTAACACTTGCCCACTCTGCAGTGAATTCAAAGCTTTTGAACTACTTTTTGTAACCCCACCCTCTTGGCCCCCCCAGCTGTGGGAGTTCGTATACTCTCTGATAGGGAAGAACTGCAGGCAACAGTTGCACCTGGATAGTAGTTGCAGTAGGAGGAAGGAAGTTTCCTGGCACACCTTATCTCTGCTTTTAGCAGGCTCTTGGATAAAAACATGACTTTGGGTATTGTCGTTTTAGCTCCTGGAACCCCCTCTTTTTCCAAAGGATGTTGCCTGGGAAAAGAGAAACAGGAAAAAAAGTTTGGCCAAGCAAAGGGCTGAAGACAGGTATGAGCCCATGCAGAGACTGATGTACCAGGTGACTTTAGACCATTTCTAGTCCTCATGGGTGAGGGTGTCCCCATGGAGTGTGCTTCTGAACAGAACAGATAGCAAAACAAGCAGGAGGCTATGAAGGGTCACAACTTGTCTCAATAGGACCCTTTGGGTCCCCAAAGTGATGAACACTTCAGAAGCTAACCCTACTCTGCCAAAAATGCTCTCTACCTCTGTGATACTATGTCACATTGGCTTTTCCATTTTTCCTTACCCAAATATAATCCTCCCATCCTCCAGTGAGTAGAGTTATGAGTGTCAGCCTCTTTCACAAATACATAAGCTTTCTTGGATATTGTTCCAATATCCAGTGTCACGTGTGCTAGAGTTCCAGGACAGTCTTTCTCTGTTTGTCTCCTCCAAACATCCAAAGCTAGTGGCAGTGTGAGCAGAAGCACTCGAGGGTCTGGGGCCACTGCAATCTGTGGCACTGAAAGTCTGACACGTGGCTTACTCCTCCTGTGGTCTCTGCCAAGTGTTGTGTTCGAGTTAATGCCTTCTGCTGGGTGGAAGAGCAAATGAACTGTATGTGAGGATCTCTGCTGCTGTTCTGGAGCTTCCTTGAGGCTTCCTGCTTCAGCCTACTGGCTCTTAGCTCGAAAAACCCCCACGAGGGCTTAGATAAATTTTTTGATTGATTGTACATAAGAATAAGAAAGCTCGATGCAGAACTTCATCAGGACTACAAGTTGTGTGTTTTAAGACCAAATAATTTGGTGCCACAAATACTAGTTTTAAAACAGGAGTAGCATTGTAGAAGGTAGAGGTGAAGAACTACTTAGTTCGGTCATTCTGCTCCCTCTAGTGTTTCGTCTGGAAATGAGCGTGTCCTTCCCTCAGGAGGGGAGGCTTTAACGAGGAGCTCAGTTCTTTGGTTTTCCCGTTCTTTCACTAATAAAGAGAGAGTGTACTGTTTGCTGAGCAATAGTTCTAGGATTTTTTTGAATAGTTACAATTTGGAGAAAGCAATAAAGGCACAGTTAAGTTTAAATGTTGAAAGACATGAAACCAAAATCTAGATGTACACAGAGAAGTAATTAGAGAACAAACATTGAATATTGGAATTTTCAAAAGGCAATTACATGGATTTTTTTAAAAATGCCTCAGATATTATATTTCCATTACTTATTTCTTCCTACTGTGTACTCTTATTGGTGATGTGGGGAGAAAATGTCCAATATGTAAATAGGGATAGACTAATTTGTATCTTTTGAATATTTCTCTTAAAATAAGAGTTAAAATTGAAAGATTGAAAGTCAAGACAGAGAACAAGAAAACTAGGTAGCAAAGGGGAAAATATTTTTGTAGAAGCTGTGAAAGCAGTCCATTTAGTCACAGAAAGTGTTTGAGCCTGTAGTGGGAGAGTGGGACAGAAACAAACCACATTATCACCCGCATAATCCTAGTGAAGTTCTATAAGGTGATTCTTCATGATTATATGTTGCTTCCTTATATATGTCATTGTCTTGCAGGAAGGAAGTCTTTGACTTTGAAAACTCAGACTCTTCAAGTCATGAAAAGGTAAAGTTGAGAACAGAAGTTGTTAAGAGCTATGGTCCCAACTCAACACCTAACAGAGTAGTAACTTGCAGGAGGGGACATAGTTTGCTGCAGAAATGCTGTAAGGATGGACACACTGTTATAGCAAAACAGACAACTGGGAATCTGAGATTTTTTTTGTTTGTGTGGTGGAAATGGAATTTTTTTTTTTATTTTTTTTTTTGAGTAGGGAGAATGCTCATCACTGCTTGAATTTTGTGGTGGGTAATATATGATATCACCAACAGAAATCTGAGCTGTTGCTTGAGTGAGGCCATGGGGTATCTCTGTGATTGAAAGCCAGCCTTCCTTTGTGTTTTGCTGAGTATCAAAAGCAGATTGCTGAGCATCTGCTTTGTGCTTCTAGGCTAGACAGAAGAGACTGAAATCCGTTTCAAGCCATGCTTTGCAAATTAGGAATCCCTGGTTAAAAGCCAGTCCTCACAAAATTTTTTTGGAAGTTCTGCTTGATTTATATTTTGCAGACCCTTGAAAAAATGAAAAATAATGAGTTGCTTTGCTTGCTTTGGAACTTTGACCCGTGTGAGTTTTCTGAGGAAGTGTAAACATGTTCCTGATGGCTTCCACCAAGGTGGCTCTGCTGCAGAAACCCTTTGGCTTTCAGCCTCTTTCCTAGTGTGAGAGATGTCACTGCCACCTGCTGCTAATTCTGTGGCAATGGATGATGAATGGGACACCTCAATTTTCTCTTCTAAACGGGACATTGCCCGATCCTTGCTACTGCCACTGGGTGTCAGCATAAATCCCTGTTCCATGGCATCCTGCCCCGCGTCCCAGCAGCCCCGTCCCAAGGCTGTCCAGGGACCGTGTTCTGTGTTTACATGTGCTACTAGCAGTGGTGTTATTGATTAAAATGATGTTTCTTATGACGTTAGTGCTTAAAATGAGCATTACTCATAAAGCAGGGAAAGGAGAAAGTAACTCTGTTTAGGACAACAAGTGTTTGTCTATTATAATTTAGGACACTGTTTCAATCAACAAATTCCACTCCCTTAAAAGGTGAAATTTCCATGCTGGACTCCTGAGTTTGATACATATAATTATGTAGATTGTTTTTTGGGGTAGCCGGACTCAAAGACAAATGTCTTCTTCTTTTTCAGGTTGCTGAAGCCAAAGGAAAGATTCTTGGTCAGAAAGCTTCTTCACAAAATCAGAGGTACAGGATCATAAATGTACCATTTATCAACTTTTTGCTATGTGAAAGAGAGTTCATAGCTTTTGTGAAGCTTTTTTAAGTTAGGATCAAAAAGACTGTGTGATTTTTCTAATACAATAGTTCCTTGCTTAGCTACCATGGTATCTGTGGATGTTATTGGTACTAATTTTCAAATAGTAAATAAAGGTTGTGGGAAAGAATAGAGTCTCCTGTCTACTTTGATTATAATAAGATTTTAACATGACTTTAACTCTTAAATATCGTCCTTCTCTGATCGTATGTGTAAACTGCTGACTTAATTTTTGAAAAATACTTAAAATGCTCCCTGCCTTGCTTTGGCTGCCTCCCAATTATAGCAAGCTGCCAGGAACTTGCACCTCTAAGTATGTAGGTTAATTTCTGTTTTAAAAAAAATGCTAATTTATAAATATCCCTGAGTTGCTACTTTCAAAAACCAAGCAAAGAAAAATTTGGCTAGTGACTGCACTTTAATAGTTTGGTTCTTGTGCTGATCTCTCAAGGAACCTTCCTGCGATTTCTGTTTGACTGTACCCCTTCTGTGGTGTGCTACTGTTAGTGTTTGCTTGTCTAATTTGGGTCTTTATGTGCTACTTGGCAGGACTTATGAAGTAAAAAACAAGAACAAGGAATCAAACAAGCTCGAGAGAAGGCAGGTAGGTTTTCTGTGCTTTTTCATCCTAGAGCTGTGTTTGTCCATCTGTACAAATCTGTTGCACCCCTAAAGAGGCTGAGGTTTAAACCTTACCTGGGGCAGAGGTGGAGGAATATGAACCTGGTAGCCTCTGAATAGCCTGTTTGTTGCTACTGAAAGCAGGACTCAGGGTGCACCATCACTGCCAGCGAGCAAATTGTTACATTTTTTTTTTGCCCCACTGATGTGCTGTTGGGTGCAGCTCAGGCATGCTGAAGTTTTCCTTCTTGCAAGAGCACTTTTAAACACAGGAAAGGGGGGAAGAAGAGGAAGGAGGGTGCTGTAAAAAACCCATATTGGCAAAGGGCAATCATCTGCCTCTCAGTGTTTTTATTCTGGTGGTTTGACAGCTAACTGTGACTGTTTGGCAGATTTCACAGCTTAAAATGCTTTACATATTGCACTGTGGGGAGGAAGAAATGGAGTAACTTGATAGTAGTTGAAGGGGAATGGCTGAGGGTCTTCTCAGTGAGCTGATTAAGCAGAACTCACTCTTAAGAGGGTCTTTAGTCCAGTTACAGGAAACATCTTTTTTCGGAAAGCAACAATGAAAATACAAGCACTGGTCAGAGTGAAAAAAGCTGGATCCTTGACTCTCAGATACAGTCGGTGCCAAAATCTGTTGACTATACCCGAAAAAGAACAAGGGTGAGAAGTAAATTGAAAGGTAAGTGTAGTCCCCTATTGACATTTAGCTATGCATGATGTGCTGTGCTGTGCTGCAGAAAAGCAAATGGCTGGTGATGGTTTGAGAGTGTTCAGCCAAATCCTGATCCTCCTGAGTGGGAGGGAGCAGGTTCGAGGCTGGCAGCAAGGGGTGCCCTGTGGAGGAGGTGCATTGCGCACTCTTGTGCTTGAGCTGGTCTCTGGTTCCCTTCTCAGAGTGAGGTTGAAATATCTGGGTGGAAATCTGGCACTTAAACATCTGTGTGGGTGTAGCCCTCTGTGTGTTGATGGTGAAGGGCCCCTGAGCCCTGAGCTGGTGGCTGTGTTGGTGCTCTTGAACACAACAGGAAGAAGATCTCTTTAAAGCTACCACACCTCCTCCCTATAACTTTCCTCTCCTCATCTCCCCAGAAACATGATTGACTTGGCAAAGTAAACCTTGAAAAACCTGACAGTTTGCAGACCATGGCACTCTGCTCTCTTAGATAGTTGGTCTGATAGACCAACTGTCCTCTCAGAAATAATCACATTTGATTTTGCAAATCACGGATAGAATTCTCTGCTCAGACCTGCCCAAGAGCAAACCTACCCTACAGCCTTCTCCATGGCCATCTACTGCTGTGACCTCCAAATGCAAACCGAATTGCTCTGAATGAGATGGAATGTGTCTGTCCCATTCATGGAGAATGATGCTTTCTCAGGTAGCTGTTGGATTCAGTGGGAATGAAAAAGCAAAAGGAAGTTGAGGTTGAAATTATCCTTTTTACCGTGTTTCCTTGGGAGTTGTTCTCACTCCAGTGTCAGCCCACACATCCTGCCTAGGACTTAGGGACCATCAGACAAGATGCAGAGCCTGCCTTTTTTCTTGGCTGTTCTGGATGCAGTGAGTTGTGTATGTTTGCATCATTGTATCTGGCTTTGTTAGAGAAAGGGCTTTGTTAGTAAAAGGGTGTTTTTTGAAGCTTACTATAAGTTTTGTGGCGTTTAATCTTGCAAATGCCCAGAAAACCAAACTGAAAAGGTTAGCATCATGGGTAACTCAGGTAACAGGGTAAAGTACACACTTAACTTTGTAACCAGGTAAGCTTTTTTCCTTGCAGTGCTTCCAATGTCTTCTGCAAGTAGTGGCAGTGACTACGCGTCAAAGAAGGTAAGGTGGTGTCATGCTTAGGTGTCTAAGATTTAAAAACATACATGTAAAATGTGTACAAATGAGTGAGAATTAAATAAATTGGTACTATCTTTCTTCTCAAATGTTCTGATGGACAGATTTGTCTAAGCATTGCTGAGACTGTATTGATCTACTAGAGGAGGTCTTAAGAAAACATGGGAAACTTTGTAGAAACAACTGTGTCTGAGTCCTGAGCATGTTGTCCTGGAGTGATATTTACCTTTGACAAGTGAAAAATTGGACTTGGTGTGACACTCACCTTGACACAGCTGCCTATCTAAATACCTGCAGAAATCCCAGCTGGGCCCTACAAGGCTGTGTCCCCATGCTATCTTCTGCCCTGTATTGTGCAGTGCCTTGGGAAAGCTCGCGTTCACCTCTGCTTTGATGGCAATTTTCAGAGCTTTTATTCCAAGTCCTGTGCTCACACCACGAGTCCTGGTTCATGCACCATTGTTCTCTGCTTTCAGCTATAGCTCTGGGAAAACTAACAGTGGATTATGTAGCAATGGAGGAGTTGGTGGACCAGACATACGTCAAGCAAATAAAATAAAATTGAGCTATGTCAGGCTTTTCCAGTGCCCAGCTGTTAAATGCCACGTATCAAATATATCTCAATCAAAATATGTTTGAAATACAAAAAGTTTTGAAAAAAACTCTTCAGAATGCTTAATTGCATTAAAAGCTTTTATTTTCCTCTGGAAAAATTTTCTTTACTCTCTTGACTATAATGCTTCTATTCTGCTTATTAAAAATATCAAATGTACAGCTCTGGTGGCTAAAGGGAAAAGTGATGCATGCATTGAACTTCAGGCCACAGGTCTCCTTCAGTGTTAGAGAGCCATCAGTATGTTAGGCATATTTCAAGTGTATCTCTGCCCTTAGTGTACGTAAAAAACCAAACCAACCAACTAAAACAACAGCCCAAGCCCCTAGTTCTTTAGTAATGTTTAAATAAAACAAATGCTTAGACTTTGTTTTGTTTCAGGGGAGAGAATCAAGGAAAAGAATTAAAAAGGAGATGCTAAGGGAAAAAAGCAGATTTAGCGCCAAGGGAGGTGATTTACCTACAGTGGATCATGCTGGTATTTCTATTTTAATCTTCTTCAGTGTATTAGAAAAGCTGTTTTGATACATATGGGTCTGTACTTTTTGGGTTGGTTTTTCTTTTTGATTTTGCTGTTTGCATTCACATTTTCTTCATAAGCATTCTGCTTGGTGATATTTTTTGTAAGGGCTGTGAGGGCTGGATATTGTTTGCATGGATACTCATGCAGGGAGAACATTAGCTGGGGCTAGTGAGAGGTGAAGGAAAGAACTTAATTGACAACCACGAAGAAAACAGCCTTTGGACTGAGTTTGAGCCACCATCTCTTCCCTGTGTAAAGAGATAAGGTGGAAGAGGGTGGAGATTTTTTTGTTGTTGTTGTCATTAAATTGAGGTTCCTAGTCAATGCAGGATTCAACCTCTGTTGCCTGTGTCATTTGACTGATCTCTCATGCAGATGAAACGCTCTCAAAAGAGCCCAAAGAGGATTTGCTATCACCAGGTGTGTCTGCTGGGGGCTATTCCAGTGATATGGAGAAGGCTGTGCAGGTGCAGTATGCAGTGCTTAAACTCCTTCCAGTCTGCTGTCAGGCTACTTCTCATCTAAAACCAATGCATCGTGTCACTTTTTTTCCTATAACTAGACAAGTCCCTGACAGCTTGCCTGCAGTGCAGGGTGGATACCTTCTTACTTTGTTTTCTTTCTCTCCTTAGAAGTTACATGAAGCGCCTGGAAATTTGACTAGAGAAGAAGAAAGTACTAAGCGGAAGGACTCAGGTTTGTTATTCTTGATAACATGGAAGGGTTGTTAAAAAGCAGAAAGGGCATTGCCAAAGCATTATTTCCTTTCAAAGACAAAATAGCACTGACTTTTCTTGAGATAATTTTTTGCTAAGTTCTGTTTCTCTGTTTTGTGTATTATGACAGACTATGGTAAGATGATTTTATATACACGCTTGAATTCATTGCTAATCCCTAAATCCTGTTCTTGATCACAGGGGAACTTGTAGTGTAACTATTAAGAGCTGGGGATTTGCAAACTAGTGACCCAAGAGACACACAGAACATACTTTTCAATGAAAATGCACTGCGGCTTCAGTTTAAAAAGAACAAGCCTTTCTTAAAGTTGTTGACTTTATACCTAAGAGCAGAGACACAGACCATTGCTATAAGCATTTGGTAAATGATGACTTGGGTAATGCTTATTACTGCTGTAGCTTTTTTTTTTGGGTAGATGACTTAAGGAATTTTTTTTAATGAAACTGAATCTGCATAAACTAAGTCAGAATTGCAGCACAGTCTCTTTGTGATTGGAAACAACCAAACTTCAAGAAAGTTGAGCAGCAATGGATTGTTTTCATACTAATCTTCTCAATACTGGTGTAGTTTTGAGAGACTGTCTTAAAGTTATTGCTGTGACTATGAATCAAGCCACAGAACAAAAGCATCCCTTTTCTAACGATCTGGCTATATTTGTGTTCCCTATATATCTCTTACCTGTCCTGCAGTTTCAAAATACACTGTCACTGCACCAACAAATCTGCTTAATTTTGGGGGAAGATAAGTGCTGCAGACTTGATTTTTTTTTTATCACTGTTTACTGTACAGCCTTACCATTGGACAGGAGTTGATGCCATGAGAAGGCACAAGTAGGCTTATGTTCAGAAATTTCAAGTGTGATCTGTGACTACATTTGAATTCTTTCTTTATGAACCCAAAATCTGCTTCAGGATGCTTCTTGTGTTCTGACTGTCCCCCTTGTCTTGGGCCCCCACCACCTTCCTTTCTGCACTATGGAGACTGCAGTCATCGCTGGTCAAACAGATCTCTCACTGAGGTTGAGAAAAGTATTAGTGAGACAAAGGGATGGTTTTTTTTTCCTTTTAGGCAAATTTTCTTTAAAATACAGGCTGTAGTCTCCCTCAGCATGTTCCTAAGGTTTTTTCTGAATTAAAAGCTATTGTATAGCAACTCTAGTGAAGCTGCAGAAAGGTGGCTGTTATGCGTGTGGTTAGGTATTTTTCCCCTCTATTGTGTTTATGCATGGGTTTTGGGTTTTGGTTTTGGTTTTTTCTTGTGAGGAGAAGCTGGAATTAGCTTAGTAACATAAACAGATTGCAAGCTTTGGTTGGAAGTGTGAAGAAGCTGGACAAGAGGTTTTTTATGGTTAGAGTAGCAGGTCAAGAGAGGAAATTATCTTTAAGATGGAGACATGTTAGCTTTCAGTTATCTGCATAACACTACACAGTCTAGTGTCCTGCTTTTGCAAGGGAAGATGCTTGCTAGTGAAGTCTTATCCTGTCCTGTAAGTGTGATTTCAGATGCTAAAATGAAGTTGCCTGCTTTTCTGAAGCATTGGTAATTCCAATGGTGGTTTCTGCTTGAGCAGATACTGTCATGTACCTCATGCAGAAGAACCGGTCTTTTCTGAAATATTTTCTCTTCTCTTCCCAGATATATTAGAAAACACTGTCATAAAAAAGCTTAAATTTTCCAGCTGGGAGACAAATCATTCATCTTCTGACACTAACTATAAACCAAGGAAAATTTTTGATTCAGTAGAAGAGGAAGCAGAGATCCAAAAAGGTAAAGTCAGGTTGGCAATTAAAGTGAAGGTTTAGATGCTTTCAGCTTTTCTTTTGTTATAGTAGAAATCATAGTCATACGGAAGCTTGAAGAGATGTCTCTTCAAGGCTAACTTCTCCAGAGTCCAAAATTAACAGAAGGTGCATATTGCATCACTGTCATTGGAACCATATGTGGAGGTGTGAATGACGAAATTTGGGTTCCACTCAGTAAGCTGCTCAATGATATCCACACTTTCTAGTCTTCCTGAATAGTGACTGTCTAGAGCTATTAAAAAAAAACCAAACCAAACCAAAAAACCCCAAACAAACAAACAAAAAAAACCCAAAACACAGGAGCTGAAAAAAAAAGCATGCAGATAATGGACAGAGTAACTGCAAAATACTGCTAACTCCAAACACAAGGGGATTAGGCTTTCTTTGCAATGAATAAGAAGACAGGAAAACAGTGGTGACTTTTTTTTTTTTTTTTTTAAAATTCCCTTATGTTGTGCTTTTGCCTTACTGTCTGTAAATATACTGCTCTTTGTGTTGCTCTATTGTGCCTCTTATTCCTTGCTGCTAACAAGTATTTCTCAGTGGGCCAGTCTTCCTCCTGCTTATGAGCTCTAGAAGAACAAGACTCAAATTCCAACTCTATAACAAAAGTTGGTGCTTACATGAATGGCAAACCCTTCAGTAGCAGGATGGCTTATATTCCAATAAGCCCTCCAGCATGATGCTAACTGGTTATACACTTCCTCCTAGGTCAGGAAATGGATGATAGTGTGGGTGATGTGTTTTTTTCCAAGATGCAACATGAAGACTTCAGTCATTCAGGAGTGATTACTGCATTTGAAAGCTTTGTTGACCAACTGAAGAAACTGTTCTGGGTAATGTGTGCTCTCTTACTGTGTGTGGCAATTTATCATATTATGTAAAATCACCTTTTTATCTCCAGAGGAGTTGGTGCAAATATCAGATACTTATTTTTTTGCCCAAGACCAGGGCTTTGGCTGAAGTGTTTGTTAGTCTGAAACTCTTAGAAGTATTCTACATAACCTGTATATTCTGAGAAATGTTACAGGGAAGACATAATGGAAGTTTTAATTAGCTTTTTCCTTCTTTTTGTCTCTACATGTAGGTTGGAATATCAGACTTGGTTAGGCACTTTAAATACTTTCCTCAGAGGGGAGGGATCAAAACGTTTTTCAAAAGTAACCCAGTGTAGTGACAGTGTACCTATGCTGGAACTGTGGGTCATTTTCCTCATGAACGCATATAAAAAATAGAAAAACTCCCTTTTGGAGCATAGAGCAGTTTCACTGAAATGTAAGATCAAGCAACTTTTTCATGATGAAAACCAGAAAGCAATACAGGCTACACCTATTGACTAGAACATGCACAGATCCATAAGGACATGCTTTGAAATTAATGGTATATGGAGGTGTTAGCTGCACAGTTTGTAGTGAGCTGTCTATTCATGGTTCACTCAACTGTACAGACCTACTTAAGATGCAAGCAATCAACTGCTACTGTTGATTTAGCTATAACAAGTAATGTGGACATTAAACCAAGTTTAATGACAGAAGAGTGTCTGACCCATTAGAAAATCTTCTTGTGGTCAAAAGCTTTGAACAAACCAGATGTGGCAGAGCAGACTTACAGTGAGTGGTTTTGTTGTTTGGTTTTTTTGGTGTTTTTCTTTCCAGCCTAGTGCTAGGTATTCACACTAAGCTTTTTGGTACTAAATCTTTGAATCAAGGCTGAAGGTGGATGCATTTACAAATCAGTTAAGATTAAAATGCACACTGCCTGTATAAATGTTGACCTGAAATAGTGCTAACAAAGACCTGGGTTTGGGCAGCTGTTAAGTGTGTTCAAGTATAGGTGAAGCTTGCCTCTTCACTGACTGGATAACATGACCCTGACCTGAAGTTACCTGGGTTACACAGAGACTTGTTGGTGTAACTAGTGTGGCTGAATGAAGTCAGTTCATATTTGTAGTACCTACGTGTCACCTCGCTGCTGTTTAAATTTGACTTATGATGGTTTCTGCTAAGCTGAATGACAGCCCACAGAGGGATTTGCATTCCAGGGAAAGGTTTTGCAAACTAGACTTACAGGTTTTGGCCTAGGGCATTGTCCATCCCTAAAGGTGCATCCTGTGGCTAGGCCCGGTACAAAAGGATGGAGATCAGCACACAGAATGCCCTGAGGTCTTCGGAGAAGAACTTGTCTGCCTTGCTGAACCAGATACACCAGTGCAGGTAAGCTGTCTGGTGCTGGCTGAAAACAGTATCAATTTTGTGTAAATTTTGATTGATAGGGAAAGCAAACCTGACAGTCAGCTACTGCCCTTATGGTTTGTAAGGCAAAATAGCCTGTGTGTGTCCTTTTTTGTTTTATTTTGTTTTTCTGCAAGAAAACTTTCAAAAATGTAGCTCCTGAGATTGATCCTGACTTTTCCTGTAGGAGAAGAGTGGATGGATTCATTAATGCAAAGCAAGCTTGAGTTAAAAGCAGTTGATGAAGCAGTCCTTGAACTATCTTCTGGTTGTCATCTGTGTTCACAAATCTGTTTAAAAATTCTCTTCTTACACTTTTTTTGTTTCTGTTTCTAAATTGTTTAAGAAAGAAGCCAGGTTCTGATTTACTTAATGAAGTGAGGGAGAAGAAAAGGGATCTGTTATAGGCCCATTTCTGTAGATTGTTTCCATGTGCATGAAGTAAGTGCCAGAAGTGGGCTATACAGGCATTCACCAGCTTGGGCTTTAAGAAAGTCATTTTGCTTTACAGGTTGTCAAATTCCTTAGATAGGAGATCGATAAAAAAATCAATTCTAATATTTGTGGATTTGTAATAAGTGAAATACAAGTACAGTCTAAGAAGTAATTAAGTCTATCAGGCCTCTGTATCCACTACACAGTCAGTTTACAAGATTTAGAGCAAAGGTAGTATGAAATAATAGCTCCTAAAGTGAAAAATTCCTAGTATCAATAGGACCTCTGTGAGTTGAATTTGCTTGCCATTAAGGTACATGGAGAAGTTTGAGTTCCAAAAGAAAAAAAATTAATGTTTTGGGGTGGAAAGTAAGAGTTGATGGCAGTGAGCTGCTGCCATGTTTTGATGTTGCTAACTAAGTAACCTGGATCCAACCAGAGTCACAGGATAGTGGAGACAGAGCTGTGCCAGATTTGTCCTACCTCACTGCCAAGGGAATGGTGGCAAACTCAAGTGGATAAGGGTGTTGCTGGTTAAGGTTGAGAAATTGATGGCATCCTGTGACAACACTGTATGTATCAAATCCGTGGTAGGAAAATCCATTAGACATTGTGTCAAGATAGAATCATAGAATGGTTTGGGTTGGAAGGGACCTTAGAGAAGTCTTCAGCTTGGGAAATCTCTGCCAAACTTCCTGGAGGCTGGGAGAAGTATTTGGGAGTCAAATCTGCCCCATGTAGTTCAGCAGGGACACTTGCTTCTGCCAAAGTTAGGCTTGGTGCTGAAGGGGTTGTCATCCACCTCGTGTGACCGCACGTTAAAGTGTCAAACTTGTTTCTGTTCTCCATCGCTAGGCTTAATAAACTTGAGACCTTCCAGAAGATTGTCGTTGACGAACTTTCCAGTCTTGAGAAGGAAATTCAAATTTTGGCAAACATGGAGAAGGATGCAGTGGTGCGTATGACTTCTCGTGTATCAGCCTAGCGAGGTACTCCTTCCCAAGTAACGGGGGTTTCCTTTGGGTCTCTTTTTAGGACTTCTGGAATGCACATCTGCTCAAGTTGAATTCTTTCTGCAACCAGCAAAAACAAAGGTACATCTCTGCCAGCTGTCTTGCATGCTCACAAGTCCTCCAATGGTCATAGAGGGTATTAGTTAGGCTGGCAGTACCCTTGCTGGTATATGGAAAAGGATTCTAAAACCTGTGTTGCTTCTCCACCTGGTGTCCGTTGACGGAGCCTTTGCAGCCTTGTGAGGGTTTTCAGTTGGAACTAGAGTGTGGTGAGGGACTCTGTGTGGGAAGTTGTGCAGGAGAGGCACAAACCTCAAGAGACCTGTACCCAGATCTGGAACAAGGTGCAATGCACTTGCTGGATGTGACTTTATCTAGAGGTCAGAGGAGGTAGAAGATGATAATTTCTTATGTAAAAGATGCTGTTGGTGCGAGTGCTGGGTAAAAAGCTGCAATTCTCAGGCTTATTTTTAATGGTAAATATCTCTGTTCAAGTTTCATCAGTAAGTACTAATGCTTCACAGAAAAACTAGCCAAGCTTGATTTTCTTTCAGAATTGAGTCTGTTGACTCAGCCGTGGGTGAATCAGTGAAGAGTTTTGCCGACAATATCCAGAATACAACAGTACGGTACACGTGATACGAAAGCAGCTCTGTGTGGGTGGTGGACTGAGCTCTGATTAAGTGTTGGAAGTGAGAAAATGAAACTGAATTCTTCAGAGGGGAAGCCTTTGTTTTGTGGGGCTGGTTCTTTGTGGGACCTCTGGTCCTGATGCATGGAAAGTATCAAGAAAGCAGTGTTTGCCCAGCTGTGAACTAGGGGAAGTGGTCAAAAAGGACTTGCCTAAGGGAGAAGACAAGGACAAGGACTATGAGACTGTGATGCTCCTCCTGGGTTCACAATTTGGGGATTTGTTCATCCTAAGGGTGGTTTCTGTGCAGTTAGTGGTTCTTAATGCATTTGGCCTTGGAGTTGTGCATCCATGAAAACCTGTGACTAAGAGCTCTGCAGTTTAACAACACCTTGCATGCTTTCTTTCACCTGCTCTTTGAGTCTGGCAACTTCTAGCCTCGATGCCTTCAAGTTTAATTTCTAAAAATTAATATTTTTTGTTTACCTTGTATCCTGGTTAAATATCTGTTGAAATTCTTAAACTTTTCAGAGTCTAATCACTAACTTATGCCCTTGTTTGAATTTATAGTTAAGCTGAATACTTTGCTAACTTCGATACAATGCTTAGTTTCTATCTGGTTCACCCCATCACATGGGCATGTATTTTTTTCTACTGCTGCTGTTCCAGCTTTCATGCACAGGTCTGATGTCTTTGAGAGTCTAGCATTCCTGCAATAAGAGCAGTGGATTACTATGATGTGTATGATGCCACGTGTCTGCGCTGCATAGGGCTGAAGAAAGCTCCCTGCTTGAAGGAACAACTGTGGTCGCCCCAGTGGACTGGGCCTGGGATTTTTAGAAAACATGCTGAAAAGCAATGGCTTGTTTCTTTTAGCTATTAAAGCTGGAATCCTGAGCCTTTCCAAAGGGAAAAGTTTCCATTATGAGCATTGAGTTGCTGAGGAACAGAGGTGCCACTGGAGAAGGACACTTTTAGAGAGAGCAGGGCTGAGAGAGGGGCAAGCATGTCATGGGAGCTGCTCATCCTGCAGCACTTGTTCGAGGATAGGTGCTTGAGAATTAAAAGCTGTGTCTAAATGTGCTTCCAAGACCTTTGCAGTTTCTTGTCTTATACTATTTCTATGTTTGTACAAGCTTTTGAAATGCTTTCTTACTTTTTTTTGTTCTTCCCTGCAGTACGAACACCCAATGAAGAAGGCAGAAGAAAGCAATGTGTTCGTGGTTCCTTCTGACTAGCAACCCCCTGAATTCATTATTACTCTTAAATTTTGAACACCTTGTGTATGCAGCATAGAGAAGATGGTTCTGTGAAGGATGTCAATTTATTTTAAATGCAAAGAAAAAAGGGGAGGAAAAAAAACATCGACATTGAGCCTTTTTTTTTTTTCCTAAAAAGAATATACACTGCTAAGTGGTCCAGTTATGATCCCTGTGTTGATAACAACTTTTTCTGAAAAGTTGCAAGATGGGTCCCTTACATATAAAAGAAATTTAAAAAACTATCTAAAGATAATGATTTGTCCACCAAACGGATGGATATACTGCCTTACTTTGAGTATTCTGCTGATTGATTCTAAGTAAAATATTGTTTGCATAGAATAACAATCTTGTTTTCTTCAAAATGATGCACTGCGCATGGCTGGAAAGGTACTCTAGAGTCCTGTGTTCCTTGCCTGGGATGTGTTAGGCATAGCCTTTCCTGTGTGCAGCAGCAGTGGGGGAACTGCTGCCTTGACACCATTGCCACTCAATTCTGGGCTGCAAAGTTGAAAGCTGAGAGGAATCTACTGGCCAGATGCCTGATGGCAAACTGGAGACTGTGGAGGGCAAGAAATTTGGAGCATTGAAGAGAAAATTGCAAATGAGGCTGGAGAAAGTATTTCTGCAACCAGTGACTTTTGGCTTCAAGGAGAGTTCAAAGTACAGTGACCAGTGCTAGGATTAGACAAAATAGCATCAAAAGTCTCTTGAAAGCAAGCCACAGATAAACCATGCTATTTAATATTTTCCTGTGCTTTGACAAAGTTCCCCAAGTGATATTGCTCTTCACAAACTGTTGCAGACACAGAATTATAGTGCTAGGGCACTGCAATGAATTTGGAGGAACATGCCATGTTTCCAAGCTTTGGGTTTCTATCTACTTACCTTATAAACCAACCTCAGATTACTGTGTGGGTTAGAGTCGAGGGAATCTTCCCCTGCACACAATGTACCTTCATAACAAAAACCCAAACCCTGACAGGGTTTGTTTCACCACTGAAACAGTGGGGTGATGCTGTTCCTTCTTGACAAGGTCATGCAGGCTAGCGCCAGCACAGAAAACAAGAAAAGCTGCTGTTGCTATCGCTTTACCATTTTATGCCTATTCCTTTAGCTTAAGTACTCCTGACTGGAGTTGACATGAGATGAAACTTGTTTAACCACGTCGAGGGGTGGTTGGTGCTTTCCTTCTAGGATGGTTTAAAAGAAAAGACTGCTTCAACCCTGCCCTTTCCAAAGCTCCAGATCCACTGGTCTGCCTTCTCCTATTCACAATGTTAAGGGCTGTAACCCTGATTTCACATTCAGTAGTTTGTGTTTGTTTCTTTGCGGCCTGGCCCTGACTATGCTGCACCCTCCTACTGCTTTTCAGTGTCTTTAAAGTCTTTACAGCTGCTGTTTGAAAAGTGCTCTCAAAGCACTCAGTCAAAGTGAATTTCGAGAGATGGAGCTTTAACTTCTGTGAACAGCTCTACTTCTGTCTGGTAATACTCTTTAGTTTTGCATCCCAGTAGCAAAATTTTCAGCATCCTCTGTCCCACTAGTGTGAGGGTATGCTGTAGTGGCACCAGAAGTGACATTAATCGAAACAGGCTTTAAGATATCAGCCTGAATAATCCAAGCGTGCCTTCCTATTGCCTGGCTGTACCCGGTCCTAAATTTGTGGCTTTTACTACCTGAGTAGTAATGCAAGGTCCTAGTCCCAGGGGTATGATAAGACTTAAACTGCCCTGTTGCTTTTTATTGTAATCCACAGTTCACACTGGTGAAAGTAAAGGGATGCTTTTTGTAATGTTACTCCCAGTACCGAGGTGAGCCTTCCACTGGTTCCCACCTAAATGTCTACATTCCATGGTTTTATTCCTCATGACCTGGCCAAACATGATGATGCAACCAGGCCTATTAAGGTACTTGATGTGAAGCAGACCTAAGAATTGAGATGAGCTGGCCACACTGTGACTGTTCTTATATACTGAATTCTGCAAAGCCATTCTGTAACCTGTAACTATAACGCTTGGAAGGTGAGTGTTGAGCACTTCAAAAGGCATGGATAAAGGAAAGATCAGGGTTCCTTACTTATTAAAAATGTTGTATGCATCTACTTGCTTTTAACTGTTTCATTGGAAAAGTCTAAGAGGCTGCTTTTAGTGATGGGTATGGGAGAGCAGAAAGGGATGTCATAGCACTTAGATACCTTCTACTCCTGCACTTCTCTTTCTATCCCTTTATATGAAAAACTTCAGCTTTTGAGCTCAGTGAGTTCCAGCTTGGTAACCCATAAACTGCCTGAGGTGAAAATTTTGGACTTTACTGATGGTCTTTCCATCTGTAGTCAGTAGCAGTACTGTTTGGAGACAACATGTGGGACAGGAATGGCTTTTTCTGACCTTGAACAGTCCATCTCATACAGCTTCCTGCATTGTTGGGTCAATCAAGCATGATTGAGCCTAAACCTGCTGAAGGTCTAAAGTGCATTTGGTTTCTACAACAGACCTGTAACTGGGTTACTGTAATGTTTCATTTTGGAAGGTAGGTAGTTGACCTTGGCATGTTTCCTTTTCCTTCTCACTTACACTTTTAAGAGTGTTATTAATCTAGATATTTCTTTTATTTTCTTCCTTTCAGTGCAAACGGATATAGCTCAATTTTCAACCTGTTCAGTTTCCTTAACACTTCTGAGCCAGAACAACAAAGAGGATGTGGATCCTGAGATGCAAAACACGTGCATCAGAAAAAGAAATGAGCACTTAACAAAGTGCACGTTAAGGACAACTGCTTTATGCATTTTAAGGTCTAAACAGAGTTTAATGTTAAACTGGTTATAACCCCTGCTATCTTCATGCTGTATCTCTTTCAGAGGGTGATGCTGTGCCAAGTGCTTGTTTACCTGCACATTCTGTACTGGCGCAATGGTCCCTCCAAGGTCTAGAGGGCTACAGTTACCGAATGTCAAGGCTGTACAAAGCCAAAGAAAACGATTTCCTCTTTGGCTGGAAACGGGCAGAGGAATTGTGTGTCTGTGTTTGCCCTGGCCTGGGGACAGCTTGCCCTACTTGTCAGTAGAGTGTGATGATATTGACTGGAGCACACTGGGACAGTCCTGCTTCTGCAAGCAGTAGGATTGTGTCTTTCAGACTGTGTCTAAAAGAGTACTGCATTGGAAAATAGACATGTTTCTAGGAACAGCTGAGAGCTTTTGTATACTGGAATCAAACACAGCAACCTGGTCATACATTACAGGGTGATGTTTTTTATCACGAGGAAGAGTTAAGAAAGCATTACTTAAAACCAGACTCTGAGAAAAACCTTGCAAAGCTGAGTCTTGGCACTAACCAGCAGTCTGATATATCTTCTTTAATTTCAGTGTTCCTGGGATGGTCTTTAGTAACGCTCATTCCTTCCTCCTCTTCCTTTGGGAAGTTACTTACATCCAAAACCAGTGAATCAAACTCAGTAGCTTTCTCCTTTACTTCCCGTTCTCTGCAGACATACCCTTTGGTGAGCCCAAACCAGCAAGGTCAAGTATTTGCATCTCTTCTCCCATGTTTGTATTCTCAAGCTGAAAGAAATGTTATTTTTGAGATTGATTTCTCCATTGTCTCTCCTCTGTTTACTACCATCAGATTCCAATTGAAAGCAATCTGAGAAATAAAGGATGACTTGATAGGCAAGTACAAGCTTTGAACAAACAAGTTATTGCAGTATTACCTTTGTTCAAAAACCAAGTTTTTACAGGTAGTGGGACAAAAAAACCACAGGGAAGCTTTACATGAACACCAGCGAAGGTGGTGTGTAAAGTTGTGGAGGTTGTTTCTCGGTCTGAAGTGAATGTCCCGAGAACTTTCTGAAAAAGTTTGAGAAAACAGTCTCAAACAGTTTGAAAAAGTAACCAGTTTCCAGCAATTTGACGCCTTAAAGAGGAGTGGAGACAGTCTGATAGTAAAATTTGTTTATTTACAGTGTTACGTGTTACAGGAAAATCAGTTTAAAAAGTCAATGCTTCTCTTTCTTCCAAGTTGCGGCATTTTGAAGATGTTAAGACATATCTCAAGAATTTTAAACATACCTGATTCCAGCCTTCCTGGCTGCTCTGGATCTGCAAGGTGAGACCGCCTCAGTTTTTTTTCCTTTTTTTTTTTTTTTTTTTTCTTTTTTTTTTTTCCCCAGCCCTTTGA